AATTATTTAAATTCCCCTGTTTTCCTGCATTTAACCTTTTTCATTATCACAGTAATGGTCGCGTTTTTGTCACAACACAAGGACGGCTATAAATAGACTGCATGCCAGGAGGTGTGAGAGAGTTCAATTATAGCTAGGTGCTGCGGATGACTCACGATTGCAGTGTAAATTACTGGTTTGCGGCTCGCGTCCTTGAGATTTCTCTTGCTTCTCCCCCCCCTATCTCTCTCACTCTCTCTTCTCTTCCTATTGTGTTGGAGAGATTCTTTGGTGCTAAAGTTTTCCTCGTTGGTCCATGGAAGTTTGTTGGATAAAGTAGAATCTCTTGTAATTTTGCAAATCTTTGGAAGGGAATATTTTTGGAAATAGAAAATGACTAAAAACTTGCTTTGTTTGAGAGCCAAAGTTTGACTTAATTTCTAAATCATGATAAAACAATTCACCTTTATAAATTAAATAATAATTCTAAAAATATGATGCTCGAGATGAAATTCAGCCTATCCAAAATAGAATCATGCACACAAGTATATAACCTGACAACAAGATGATCCTACTAAAGAGAATTTTGAATTTGGTGAAGATAATTTTCCAAGATGAGTTTGAGTTTGAATTCGGTTGTTTTGAGTTTATTCGCTGAAGCTCTCCTTATTTGAGAACATTCTTCTTTTCTCAGAGGTGTTATTACCTTTGAGTTTTAAAATGTTATCCTGTATTTTTCTTTTCTCAGTTAGCCTACACAAAATTTCTTTGAACGTTGATTCTGAATTGTGTTGAATCTCTTCTTATAAAAGATAACTTCCCTTCTCTATCTGAGTGTTTGTACCTTTAAGTTTGCAATTGTACGATCAGTATGAACATCTGAATAAATCAGCATCTTTCCTTTTAAAGTCTGAGGAATGTTGCTAAAAATTAATTATAAAACGGCCAAGTTACTTATTACATAACTGACTTGATGATAACTCAACACCACCGATAACCATAACATTCGATGGTTTGTCACAAACTCGCATACCCATACACTATTACTTTTATTCCTTTCACTTTTGCTCGGCTATCTGACTTTATCTTCCGCTTGTGTACAAGCTGTAGTAGTAAGCCATGATCTGTTGCACAACCACAGATGTTCACAAGACTCGGTACCTCAGCTGGTGGCATCACTGTACCATCACCACGACCACGACGGCAGACGACGGAGAGTTACGTAACCCATGACTGGGGCAAGGCAAACCACATATTACTCACATTTGTTTACTCCTGGATTGAGCTATTTTCAAAATCAATTAACTCTGTTCTCGAATAACCTGTGTTTTTTTGGTAGAAGCTCTATGCTGTTCGACCTAGAGTAGTTTGTTGTTTTCCTCGAATTTGTGTCAAGGGTTGAGTTGGTTGTTTGTGGTCGTATTGTTAGTTCGTGGATTAGTGTTTATAGAACTCATTAAACCGTTGTGGTGTGAGGTTCTATTTAGCTATGATTGGTGCAATGAGGATAGCATTATGGTTTTTAATCAGTTGTTAAAAAATAACATAAAATATTATTAACAATAACAATTTTGTTTATTACTTCCCAATAAACAAGTATGGCCGTATTAAAAACAATTAAAGAGAGGAGTTTTGGTAGGAGGCGAGGGTTTTTGTAAGTTTGTAATTGAATGTTAATAGTTGAAGGTCGCCGTTCAATTCTGAGTAGTCGATAACTTTTTGAGCGCAACACAACTTAGCTATCCTTGTTCTATGAGCTTTTAATATAACTTTGTCTAGAGCCAGATCATCACCATATAGGCAGACAAAGTCAGCTACTCTTCTTTGCCTCTAAAGTTGTTAAAATGTAGTATTTTAAGGAGTCACTCAATAAAAGAATATTTTTGGCTTGTTCACTTCACATACAATACAAGAGTGGAAATTAAATTTTTTTTGTTTGATACACATAGGCCTACGGAATTGCTCTTAAACGCAATCCTCGATTGAAAGTAATACAATATTAAAATATTTCCTATTCCACTTATCACTTTATTTAACCTCAAACACACCAGTTTCACTATCATTACGAGGAAATTGTCAGAATACAACACACTACTTATCTCTTTGAGGAAGTGACAATTGCAATCAGTAATTTTATTGTCAACATCTGGTTAACACTTGGTCGGTTTCACAAACTGATTTCCACACGTTTCTGGCATGCGACCAGACTAGGAATGTCGGCGTTTCCTGCGTACACTTAACACTCAAGGCTACTTTACCTCCAGACTCCAGGCTGCAACCTCTCACATGCCTTTCAAACACCTTTCTAAAATAATTCACAACATTCGACTAACGTATTTGCAATAGTTTTTGATTAGTGATCAATTTGTTTTTCACTTAAAGGTTTTTAGTTTTCTAGGAAAAAAATATTTGTTCCTCTTCTGATGTTGGTTGACTTGTGGATTTAAGTTCATTTTATTTTTCCTCAGTAAAGGCTCTGTTTTCATTATCAAAGAGACAAGAGAACAGTTTCATAATATTACTACATCAAAGTTGTAAACATTTTGTTTATATCTTCCTTTTCTTTACAATCTGTTAATCTGTTCCAAGTCCATCTGCAAAATTGGAAAATTTTATGTTTTTAGGGTAAAAAATGGAAAAACCCCATTTTCATCCCATAAACCCTCATTCCCATGGTCCAATCGTGCTGATTTGCGAACTCGTTTTTACCAAATTTCATCAAAATCATCATTTTTGCACAAGTTATTGTGCTAACAGACACATATATAAATACATATATGAATTTGAAGGGATGGTGTTTTTGGTCTCTGGGGACCTTAAAACGAAAAAGTAAATCGGTCCCGAGTCCAGGTCTTACCATGAAACCTACAGTAATAGCTTAAATTCCCTATAGAAAATTCGCTAAAAGCCAATGGTATTTGTCCAACCTTGAAAAATTGTTTTCATTTAAGTTTATCAACATGTTGCAACGCTGAGAGAGCCTTCAGTGGTCATTAGATTTGATGAACTCTGGCCGGTTATCTGACGTGATAAGCTACATGTCGCCTACAGTGACAAACCATCTGACAGTGAACACTTGTGTGGTGACCTTGTCTGGCGCCTACAGCACAAGTGTTGGGCTACATGTGATAAATAATTGTAATTAGTCACTTCATGTAGGTAATTATATGGTATGTAATGTTAGATGACACACTGGCTGTTAAAAGTTTGAATCATTACGCTTGAAATGTTTTATTAAATCTTGTATAAAATATGATGACAATCGTATCACCATTTGTGTATGTTGTTTTACGATTTTCATGTAAATGAAAGTTGAATGCCAAGGGCTATTTAAAAATAGCTAGTTAAAAATAAAACTGTTTGTAAATTGAGAAAGTTGATGATATTTTAGTGTCTTTACTTTTAGTCGACAGAATAAAAGTTACTGATACAGTGTAGTGAAAGGTGTTTCTTATCATGGTTTGTCAAAACCAAAAGACCAATTGAAAAATTTTAATTCATACAATTTTTTGTAATTTTTTAGTGAACTATAATCTAGTTTGATCATTCAATAAAAAACAAATGAGCCATCCCCAAAAAATATATAGGACCATGTTTAATGAAGCATGCAGGCAAACATTTCTTCTATTAGGATTAGATACGGATAGGCACTTGTAAGAAACCAGATCAGTGAGAGGAAGCCAAGTGGGTGTGTCTGTGGGTGTGTGAGTGTAGGATAGCCGGTGTGGGTAGCACGGCTACACGGCTACGGCCGCCAAGTGAGCTGGCCAAACTGTAACTGTACCCAAGGCCCTTCCTGACTCATTCATTCATCATAGTGTCCAACTAATCTGTCTGTCTAAGTACTGGTTGTAACTCTAACTACCTTCTGTCTCTGATGAAAAGTAAACTTTGTTGATGGTTGTTATCTTGTTCTTTGAGATAACCCTCTTATCTTGTGTACTTGTACTTGAGAAAATTTGTTTGAGTGTTGGATTAAATTATCATTGTGAAAGACGGGAATTAGTACTTTTTGTGGTAGGTCTCTTGAATAAAACCTCTTTAGGTACTGTAGAATATGGTACAAAACAGATTTTCTTATCCTGGAGTTTTTTATTAACCTATGTGGGCTTTCTGTTTTTGTAGTAAGTCCTACAAGAAACGACAGTATATTCTTAAGATAAATACCCCTCTCCCCTAGATTTGCTGCTATAGGAAATGTAGTGTAGTGTTCTTTAGTAAAAAGTTAATAGTTTAGTATGAAATAAATATATTTTTAAAATTTAACCAAAATAATTAAATAAAAAAGCAAACTTATATCAGTTAACTTCTCCATAAGAATAATAACAGGATTTTAAATTAACAGTTTTTGAAATTTTCTTCTTAACTGTTAAGTGCAAAAATGTTTCATTTGTTTTACTATGCTCCACAAAATGGTTAGGAAAACATTGGGTATTTTTTATTTTCAGGGTCAAAAATGGGAAAAAGGAATTTTTACCCAAAAAACCCATTTTCCATAGTTCCCATGCTGGTTCACAAACTTGTTAGAATAAATGTAGGTTCACATGGTTTATAAAAAATTTCTACATAATTGGATCATATTTGCTCGAGTTATTGCTTTAACAGACGGATATAGGCCTAGGCCTATATGAATCTGAACGGAGGGTGTTTTTGGCCCCTGGGGACCTAAAAACAAAAATGTAAACCGGTCCCAGGTCAAGGTCTTACCATGAGTACGGTAATAGCATTGACTATTGGATACAGAAGGTAATAGCTTATTCCCTATGTGAAAGATTTGCTAAAATAACATTTTTTAAATGCATATTATACCTAGATTGTAAAAATCCTTGGAATTAATTTAGTGGATGCAACCTATTTTCACAGTCTACCTCTGATTCTAAATATAGAAAATTAACCTAATGTTCTCAATAGCTCAACAATGATGTATCAACTTAAAGCAACAGATTCAGTCGGGTAAAGTATTTTTACCAAATCCTTGTTTTATGAATGTGTACTCTATAGCTATGCCTCTTCTGTTGCAGTTCAACCTGGCTATAAAGGACCTGCCTGAGGTGTTGGCGGAGGCTAAGAAGGCTATGAACACAGCTGGCTCTCGGCTGCCGCTGTGTGTGGAGATCTCTCTACGGACTAGCGACCAGGTGAGTGTTACAACTCTAAACTGACTGTACAAGTTGTATTGTTGTGTTTTGGATGAGATTCGAGGAAAACTATAGACTAGTTTGAACCAGATGTTAATTGAGTCAGCTAAGTTAGACACCCTCCAATTTGAAGTCAGGATCTACCAAAATCGTAAGAACCGTTGGAAGTTAATTTCAAAAAAAGATTTTGCCGATAGTCAATTATCTTTGTTTTTGACGATACTTGTTGCTGGTTTTGCAACCAACTTGTGGTGTGAATTATTTAACATTGTAAAATGGCATTGTGTTTTTTTTTTCAGGCATATAAATGCATTACTGAATAGTATATTTTATCATTAGGGTGAAAAGTGACTCTTTTCTAACTTAAGCTCAAGTTTCACGATGGAGGCGAAGCCGAGAAAAATCAGTGAGGGTTCAAGTCTTTTTTTTCCTGATGAAATATATTTTTTGTCATATTGCATCACTAATTAATAAACTAAGCAAAAAAACAAAAACACTTTTCATAAACCTCTTAAAACGACTTGTTTTCAATCCTGCTAAATGTAAATAAGTAGTTGTTTAGTAAGTGATTCAATCATTTTGTCAATTACCATTGTGTTACTATACATTATACCATTGATATATCAAAATTAATTGACAAGAACGCAACAATAAGCTAAAATATAATCCAATAAATTAATTGATAAATAGATAACTTTTATCCATGTGATTGCTTACAATTGAAATTGACGTGTATTAAAAATGGTTTATTTTACCTTTTTGCGTTGAACGATCCATGTGTAGTTAGTACAACTACAGCTGTTTCATACCACTAGGGTACATCATCAGGTTGTTGGCAGAACGTTAGATAAAACAGCATTCATTCATAGATGAACTTGTCGAAATAAAAATAAATGAAATTGACATGGCTTACAACGGTTGAGTTTTACTCTCTAGGGAGTAAAAATACTAATTTAGACCCACAACACATGTATTAAAACAGCTGTTTGTTTTATGATGAAAAAGCCGTAGCCTATTTTTGTTACAGTGGTTGTAGGAAAAACCTGATAATTTATTACCAGATTAAAATCAAAAGTTAGGGCATCTCAAAAGTTTATGATACTGGTACTATTTGAAAAACAATACTTTCTCCATAGCCTATACTATGTGTTGTCAGAGAATTTAAACAACCAAACGGAAATGCCTTAAAGGGTTCATTTGCAAAGCTGTTCCATCTTTAAACCAAGGACAGAAAATCTGCTGATGGCTACATCATTCAAAAAATAACAACTCAGAGCTAACTAGCTGTGACATTGAGTTGAGTACAGAACTACCTAACTATTGCTGTTAGCATTTTTTACACATTCTTGTGTTTATAAGCCTTGGTCATGGCCTACTTAAAAAGTTTGAATGTCAATTTATAAAGTGAAATACACTTTTCTTCCTTCCTGATTTTTAAATAGAGTCAAATCTGATTATTAGTCTTATCTTTACGGTTTCGTTCCCCAAATAGTATACTGATTTTCAAAGGATGGACTAATATTTATAAAAACACGTCAACAGTATTTTCCCCACAATGAAATCGCTTTGTTGTTAACTCATTAAGTTGATGTTTAAGATACAGTGAGCTTGCATTGCAAAGTGGACTGCAGAATGTGTAACTTAGTTGCAAACCGATTGTTAAACGGCCTTCAAGGTCTTACTGATCTAGATCACTTGAAATTGCATTAATGTTGTTGTCAATCAATGATCTGTAGTTTCATGTAAAACATATGTCAGTAAGTGTTCATTCTTGAATATGCAACTTAAATTCTACAACGTAGGCTATTTTATTAATATTGAAGGAGTTATCATAATAATATTTCTATTTCAGTGTTTTTTGTTTTTATTAATATTATGTAAAATTTTTTAAATAATTACTTTACCTATAAATTATTGTTTGTTAATGTGGAATTGTGGGTTATTTATCAATACATTAATGGAACAAAGGGCTAGCACCAATTAATAATTAGTGATTGACAAAAAATCAAAGCCTACAGTAAAATCACTATGAATTGGAAAAGTTTGTTGCTAGAAAAACATTGGATATTATTGATTGGTTGTAAAACTTACTTGGTTTTGGTTACTCAACTTGGTTAAATTTTTTCACTAGGAAAGCATTATTATTTCCAAAACTTGTCTCTAGCGTTGGTCAATAGAGTCAATTTAGAGTTAAATTTTATAAAAACTTGGTTAGAAGAAGAAGAAAAAAATGTGTCAGTGTACAAAAACTTGAAATTTTGATGTAAAAACTTAATTATTTCCAATAGAAGATTTTTTTTGTAACCTGGAGAACTAGTAGATTATTTCTTGATCTCGGTTAGTTGGTTAGTAGATGGTTTGCTTAGCCTAGGTCAGCATATCCAGTTAGTGTAGAGTAGGTTGAAATGCATTGAAGCCGTACAAGTCGTAGCGTTGCAGCCCAGACTGTCTGCCAGATCTAATTGTCTGCCCTAGTTGCCCACTCACATACTCACTTACCTTGTGATTGATAGCATGAAACATTTACATTACAATTGCCGTTGTTTCCTAAACTGCTTGATGGAATGAAAAACAACTATTGTTTACTCAAACATGCTTAATGCTTAACATGCTTAACTCAAACATGTAATTAATTATTAGGGTCGGTAATTTTTAATGAACTTGTACAATTGATCGCTGAAGGTAGGGAAAATTTTTTTTTTAAAGATATTTTGGAATGAATTTTGTATAGCCTGTAATACGCTTATAAACTCACTATAATTGTCTTAAAGCTATTTACTTCATTTCAGATCAACATATTCTTATGCTTAATTTGTAGTATACTGTATGTTTAGGCTATGAACAAAACCAGAGTCATAGGATACAATTTGAACTTATATTTACTAAACTATTATGAATATATAAGTCACACACATATACATATATAAGTCTATTAAAAACATTCTAGTCAACAACGGGTATCAACGGGTAACTGTGTTTTATAATATTTCATACTGTATAAGGGATAAACATTTTATCCTAAGATCAGGAACATTAAGTTCATGATGGTTCAGCATAATAACTCAAATTATAACTGATTAACTTATCAACACTGTTTGAACGTTTCACATTACAGGAGACGATGACATTGGAGACATGGTGTATTGGTATCCGGACAGACCTGATCGACCCGACCATGCGGGTGACATACCCGTTGTACACCCGGATGGGTATCCTGCTTAAGTCCCTGGTCACCCTCACCCGAGCGTACAAGTTGTCCCGGAACAAGTCAGACTACGTCATGTGCTACAGGATCTACGTCGGGGAGCCACAGTTGTATGGCCTTGGTAAGTTGTCTTTTTTTGGTTCAGCTAGTGGCGTTTTGTATAAAGGAGTTACGTATCATGAAAGTAAAGTGATTCAAACCCTAAAATTTTTGGTGTTTAACGGGAATCGAACCTGTCCCTCCCACACTAAACCCCAAGACCCTATCCACTAGGCTAGCAACACACTCGGAAATACTCTAAAGTAAACATACATACATAAAGAGTTCATATTGAAACTTGGGTCTATAAAGCAATGAAAAAACACCTTACAATTGGCCAAAAGCAGAGTTGGGAGTTCATTGGCTTATTTGTTAGTAAAAGTTTGTTTTGGAAGGTTTCCAGATAAAAATAAGAGTTAAACAAATAAATCGGGGATCGTAAGTAAAAGTTTTGTGTCTTAGTTTGATCATTGATTAGTAAAACAGAAGTATCCTGCTTTGGAATCCGACCATGTCTTAAGATGAAAAAAGGACGTACCTAAATCATTTAGTGGTTGTAAACAAAATTGGAAAGTGTTTTGAAATAAATTTGTTATCCTTTCCCCACACATTTTTATAATTTTTAATTTATTTAAACACTTTCAAAACATACACAAAAGACTTAAAAAAATAGCCTGTAGGAAAAGAATCTGCAACTAAGTAAGAAAGTAAGTAGGTTTGAGATTTCAGTCGGATGTAGTATATAGTAGTTAGCAAATCATTACTGCGGCTTATTTACCGGAAAGAAACAAGACTGTCTGCTAATTCGGCCAATCTGAGGCCAGATATCATGCTCAACTTAGCATGTCGTCTGCTACAGCTGCAAGGCCAGCCTGTGGATCCGAACATGCCATCATTATCTTCAACCTGTGTCAAATGTTGTTTGACTCATGGAATTATAATTATAACATCAGCGTATTGAGATGTGATTGTGCATATTTTGTGTGTGTTACAACATTGTGTCTTGAAACAGTTTTTGACATTGACACAATTTTCGTAAGTTTATTAGCAATGAGTATCGGTTATTGAAAATAATAATTTCGCTTAATTTTTTTATGCTTATAGTAAAATAAATTTGTTACATCTACAAAACGTAGGCTACCTAAAGGTTTTGGATGATTGATTGACACACAAATATTGGATATTCGGTGTACCAGTAATTTTTTGACTGAAAAGGGTTTAATATCAGTTTGTGATATCTTTCTACCAGAAATGTTATTCTTGATCTTTTTTCTAAAACAGTGATTTATCTAAATGTTGGATAGCGACCTGGTTCACCTTCACACTCTCTAAATTTACTTTAGGATTGACTCAACATTAATCAGCCTTCTTTAGACAAGTTCAGGCACTTGTCAAATTACATTACTGCAAATCAAAACCTGTAAAACTAACTCCTTTTAAATTTAATTTGTGAACTGATGTTTAGTTATACTATAAATTTAGGCGGGTTGAGGGGAAGTTCCCCCACCACTTTTTTTGATAAATGTAAGCTGCAGCTAATTGACGTTTTGGCAAACTTCAGCTGTTGGGATATTGTTTTTAAGTTTCTTACCCTAAAACCGCCTAAATTTAGTATTGTAACAGAAGTAATAGTAAATTAAGTTTAACTTGTTATTTTTTTGTGTGGTTGAAACTAAAAACATCTGCAACACCATGCCTATAAATCTTAGAAGACGGATAAGCATGTGGGTCATAATACCAGGTATTTATCTGTCTAATATAACTTGCCGACACAATGATGTAGTAAACTTTGGATGGCATTGTTCAATGATAACAACGTTTTCAGTGATAAGTCAGTTAGTCATGATCTCTGATTCACTGTCAAGGTATGTTTGTTGATTGTGAGTGTTTGTTTCATCGTTGACACATCTCTGTGAAACAGTTAGATTCATACTCGGTCCCTGAAACTGTTTTCGCTGACAGATAAAAATAGTTCAGTCAGATAACAATGTTTCCTGTTGTGATAAAAATTGTTGTATCAGTGGGTGTTCATGCTGAGCTTTGTATAAGGTTTTGCTTTTGTACATAGGATATTTTCTATTTAATGCACATGGATTTTTTCATGAAGTTTCATAAATTTATTTTATATGTAGCCTATTATTAAACAAACTTTTAATGGCCCTAATTTGTTCTGTGTGCTAATTCATCACAGATAGAATATGATTAATGGAAAGTTTAAATAAATCAACAAATAATGTACAAACAAATTATAGGATCAATAATTGCTATCAATTGCGGTGCTTGGGTCGTATAAATAGAGAGTACCATTTCCAATTAGATTCATTCTTCAAACTTTAACAAGTTGATAAAAAATATTCCCTGTAGTAGATATTACCTACTTCTGCTGACTCCTTATGGGACATACGGTAGTTTAAAAACAACAGATTTGTTCACAATTAGCTGTAAAATAAATTTTGTTTTATATTTTATATTACTTTTGGTAGTATTATAACCGTTTTAATATTATTTTAGCGAGTTATTTTGAATAGAAATTATTAATTATTTATTCGTTCACAATAGGCCTACATCATGCACAAATTTAAGACATGCAGATTATTTACTATAAAATATGTTAAAATGAACATCATATAGTACCTTTTTTTCTTTTTTCCAAACATATTCTTTGAATTGCCATAAGTCATAATTTCAACAATCCAAAAACTAACTTTCCATGTTTGAAAGAGAGCAATAAACCCATTAGACAGCACAATGTGTGCAAGATTCACAAGGTATACGGATGTTGTTTGTGTTGCGTAACACAGACAGATTTCTCTATCTGCCGGCTCCAGTAGTTGCAATGGTGTAGACCAAGAGTCAATTGTCAAGAAAACCGGTTGTCGCTGGCTTATCCTTGGTTATACCGGTCGTACCTGGTACTTGGGTTTCCCTATTTACATGAACTTGTCACATTGCTTTCTTAATATAAAATACTTAAATACCCATAGCTTTTTTATTTTTATCATTTAATATTTTTTGTTGTGATTTTTTACTCAATTGGCATAAAAAAAAATGGATGTTCTGACCAAACTGTTGGGAATTGTATAAATTAATTTTATCATTTTCTGGCTATCATTGTGCGGTTAACCGATTAAAAGTAATGACGTCATCACTTTTTCAAATAAATTGAAATACAATTGTAATTAAAAAGGGTTTGCATTTATTAAACACTAATTATTTTAAAAGGAAAAGTTTAGCTTTAAAAACTTGTTTAGGAGAAATGAAGGATACACGACTTATCACCTAAAGAGAGAGAGTCCCAGGAAGTTAAAAAAAACACAAAAAAGTACTACATTTAAACTTATATTTTGAAGCATTCTACCTCTATAGAAGCCCCTGAGAAAGGACGAAATATTAGTTTATATGTGTTAATATTTTGTGTTTTTTAAATTCCTGGGACTTTCTTCAGGGGAGTTAGTTGTGTACCCTTCCTTTCTCCTTGAAAAATTTCTAATATTCTACAAGTCATGGGGAAAAATCATTTACACAAGGAGTACTAATATGTAACAACTATCTTTTTACCATCCTAAATTTTTGATAAGTGATATTGATACATTAAGAATAGCCCAAGTGATAAATTTAAGCCTTCCTCGGTTAAAGTTAGGTTATCGCACCTATTTATTTCTGGATTTTGTTTTGATATTCCTAGTAGCGTCAGAGTTACAAAAATATTGACGTATTGTCGATCGGTTCATATTTTATCACATGTTAAAGGTTATAGAACGAGATAGCAACCAAAGTTTTTGTCTTCGTTCACCTCTGACATGGCATTGAAAAGATATTTTTTTTCCATTGGACATTAACACTTGATATGATTGTTTCACCTGTCCTTCCTCCTTACACATATAATTTTAATCTACGTAGCCTAATTAGTGCTAATTAATAAAATTCAGCTGTTGTTCCACTTCTTAGGAATATTAATAACTAGCAGAGTGTCCTTCGTACGGGGTTGGAATATAAGTATAAAATGCTTATTGTAGTTATACTCAAGCTTTGCGTTTGCAATAAGGGAGAACGCAGTTTGATAAAGTTTGTTTTTTTAAATTTACAGTATTCTATAGTATTACACATCTACCATAGCCACAATGTTCTACCACTTCACCTAAACAATAGAGAAAAATAAATTATCAACAATTCGCAAAATTACACAAATTATTCATGAAATGAAAAACATAAACATAACTGTAAACAATCCTTCTTTGACAGTTCTCATTGTGAATCACAGTTTTTTGTTGCTGCTTAGTTCAAATTAGCTGTTTTCATAAATTAAAAAAAAAATATAGTGCTGCACCCTGTTGGTAAATCTTATAACTTTTTAATGCTTTTCCATATTATAGAACCAACTTTTTGAGTTGAAACAAGCTATCATCATGCCAAATTTCAGCCCAATCTGTCTAGTGGTTTATGCGTGATTGAACTTCAAACACACAAACAAACAAACAAGCAAACACACAAACTTTCACATTTATAATATTAGTAAGATAAGATATCTCTTCGTGTTGTTACCGCAGCCTTTGGTTCATTTTATCAACAAGACCCTTCCACGGTTCATGAATTTGTTGATTCTTGTTTAAGAGTCCAGACACTAACCAAAGTTTAAAGTGCTACAAATTGTAAAAATCATGCATTGTAAATCTATTTAAAACCTTGTATTTATTTACAAACTCCCTACATGTAATTTTAATGTAGGTCTAATTTGTACAAATTTGAATCATAATCCTTTAAGCCTTTTTAGTGAAAATCCTTATTTCTGTCATTTTTGGGGTTATATAGGAAGAATCATCACTAAAAATCAAAATTTCTAGAAAATAAAAAAAACTTCGGTGATACCTTAATTTAATACCCAAATTTTCATCAAAATCTTTAATGAAATTTTTGACGAACCACACTTTCTTCATATACTATGCAATGAGGGAGAATGTTAAAATAGTGTAGGCCTAACTGTTAATAATGAAAAATCGAGTTTTAAGAGTTTTGGTTGTTATTGTTTTCCCCTAAAATTAAGATAACTCCAACTGGGCTTTGGTTTGTACTTTAAGCTCGAGAGGGAAAGTGATTTATTTCCATCCTAATTAACAGGAAGAGATTTTCCTTGGTGTGCACCAAGGAAACCTATAGTTTGTATTAAATATCTTGAAAATTGCAATTGACAATGTTTCATGTAGTCCGTGCTGTATCCAGATCAGGGCACTACCTTACGATCTCCAGCAAACGCACAGGAACTTATATCTTCTTCTGCAACACCAGCAAAAACTTGAACGTCTACCGCGACCACGGAGACATCATCACCCTCCACCATACCGTCAAAATTGCTATAATAATCTTACGTGATCGTGGAAACATCACCCACACCTACCGTACCGGTTAAATCATAAACATTTCATTTGGGATCGCGGCGAAATTGCAGACTGTAGGAACAAATACCCTCCCAAAAAATTCCAAATTGAATGTAATTCTGTCAAAAGATCAAAAATATATATTTTCTACAAAAATGTAATTTGCCATCCATCCCAAACAACAAATTTAACAAAACAACTTTTTAAAACTGTACATTCAACCCATGTAGCTTAATGGTTCTTATCAGTCCTTAAATTGAAGGGTGGTAACGTTCGAGTAATTTTATTTCACGTTGATGTAATGTGTGTACAGTATTATTCATTACCGTTGTCTGTTACAGGGAAGGGCTACACTCAAATGAACGTAGGACAGGTAGCCACCAGTCTAGGGACATTACACATGTCTGTAGCATGTACAGGACTAAGCTGACCATCTTTCCAGACCACACCAACAACTCTACCATCATGGTCTAACATAGCCACTGTCTGTTACAGGGAAGGGCTGCACTCAGATGAACGTAGGACAGGTAGCCACCAGTCTAGGGACATTACACATGTCTGTAGCATACAGGACTAAGCTGACTATCTCTCCAGACCACACCAACAACTCTACCATCATGGTCTAACATAGCCACTGTCTGTTACAGGAAAGGACTACACTCAGATGAACGTAGGACAGGTAGCCACCAGTCTAGGGACATTACACATGTCTGTAGCATACAGGACTAAGCTGACCATCTCTCCAGACCACACCAACAACTCTACCATCATGGTCTAACATAGCCACTGTCTGTTACAGGGAAGGGCTACACTCAGATGAATGTAGGACAGGTAGCCACCAGTCTAGGGACATTACACATGTCTGTAGCATACAGGACTAAGCTGACCATCTCTCCAGACCACACCAACAACTCTACCATCATGGTCTAACATAGCCACTGTCTGTTACAGGAAAGGACTACACTCAGATGAACGTAGGACAGGTAGCCACCAGTCTAGGGACATTACACATGTCTGTAGCATACAGGACTAAGCTGACCATCTCTCCAGACCACACCAACAACTCTACCATCATGGTCTAACATAGCCACTGTCTGTTACAGGAAAGGACTACACTCAGATGAACGTAGGACAGGTAGCCACCAGTCTAGGGACATTACACATGTCTGTAGCATGTACAGGACTAAGCTGACCATCTTTCCAGACCACACCAACAACTCTACCATCATGGTCTAACATAGCCACTGTCTGTTACAGGGAAGGGCTACACTCAGATGAACGTAGGACAGGTAGCCACCAGTCTAGGGACATTACACATGTCTGTAGCATGTACAGGACTAAGCTGACCATCTTTCCAGACCACACCAACAACTCTACCATCATGGTCTAACATAGCCACTGTCTGTTACAGGAAAGGACTACACTCAGATGAACGTAGGACAGGTAGCCACCAGTCTAGGGACATTACACATGTCTGTAGCATACAGGACTAAGCTGACCATCTCTCCAGACCACACCAACAACTCTACCATCATGGTCTAACATAGCCACTGTCTGTTACAGGAAAGGACTACACTCAGATGAACGTAGGACAGGTAGCCACCAGTCTAGGGACATTACACATGTCTGTAGCATACAGGACTAAGCTGACCATCTCTCCAGACCACACCAACAACTCTACCATCATGGTCTAACATAGCCACTGTCTGTTACAGGGAAGGGATACACTCAGATGAACGTAGGACAAGTAGCCACCAGTCTAGGGACATTACACATGTCTGTAGCATACAGGACTAAGCTGACCATCTCTCCAGACCACACCAACAACTCTACCATCATGGTGAAGAGTGATCACTTCAGACCTGAGCCTAGTCCTACTGATAACACAAAGAACTGGTTAGTAGTTCTTCACCCCTGTATCATGTAACGCTATCTAGTTACTGGTTCTCATTATCATGAGTCACCAACAATTTCTATCTCATACTACGCCTGTGTAATTTGGTGTATTCTGCCAATTTTGGACTTTTTGGATCACTCGGAATATTCCATTTGCCAAAAGCATTATCTGGGGCATCAGTAATGTCTTAGGTTTAGCCTTACACACACTGTAGATTTATGGCTGTGATTTGCCGATGATGGGATTAAATGTGTCAACTACCATGTAGCAAACAATACACCACCAGGTGTTATGCTGTCAATTGCTTCCGTGGCCTCTTCGGCATGTATCAACACGATAGGCACAATATCCTATCGTTAACAGACAGAATCACATTTAAGAAGGCTGAAACGGAAGCTGTGATCTCGGCTAATCAATACCTCTTTTGCGGCAGTGTAGACATCATCTCCCGTGGTCAAAGTAACATCATCATCGTCTTCCATGATAGCGGCAAAATTTCAAATATTTCCCTAGTCTTGTAGACATAAACATCATCATCTCCCTCGGTCACGGAAAATCATAATCTTGGCAAAAGAATTTTTGATCGCGATGCGTAGATGCATTTGCGATTAGTAGGAAAAGCTTGGCTTATTTTCCGTTAAATACCCCAAATTTAGGTAATCATCCAATTATCCAAATTTTTTACTATCTAAATGTTTTGGTCCCAATTGATTCGGATATTGTAGTACTACTGTAATACAATAAAGCTACACATATCCTCTCATGACATCCTTCACTCATATTTGGGTTAAAATACCCACCTAGGTGGTGTCTATCTAAAAAAACTGATTGAATAATAATTTTTTATTCCTACACAAGTAATACAATCATTTTCAAATCTCACTCTTTTAATCTTATTTCACTATAGAGGAAAGTGCATAAGTTAGTAGTAAAAGGAATTTAGAATTCAGACAATGATAAAGCAGTTTTATTATTTTTTTTCATTTATTTTGTTGCTCTTTAATCTATAAACTTTTCTCAACCATTGTATGCTAAACATGATGAACTTCCTAAACTGTTTTCCATGGGAAAACTCTTTATTAAACTCTAAGCTAATCTAGTTTTCGTCTCAATTTCAGCCTGGACATGAAAACGTCAATCAGTGAAAAACAGGTGAGGATAGGAGCATTTGCCAACATCAAGCCGGTTATCCCAGAACCAGAACCTATCGACATCCCGTTCCGCAACCTGCTGACAACACCCCAACAGTCTCCCCCTACCCCTTCTACCAGTCCGACACTTGCGGCGATGAAAAACACAGACAACGCATGTGCGAAAATGGCAGACATCAGTCTGAAGAATGCAGACAACGTAAGTCTGAAGAATGCAGACAACATCAGTCTGAAGAACGCTGACAACAACAGTCTGAAGAATGCTGATAGTGAGAACGGGAACATCACGCCGAGGTGTGGCTCCATCGGATCCCACAACGAAGAACCTTTCATCATGGTTGACCTGGTGGGTGAAGTAACAAATATTGTACAACATTCAGTTACTAGAATTGTTATTTAATCAATATTAGAGAAAATATTATTTTGAAGGTACGTCCCAATAGATATTTTATTAAAACATGCATCCCTCTTCCAAAAACTATTTAAAATATGGTGGAACTAACCTTTATCAATATAATAATGAAAGAGTGAAGCAAACAAGTGTTTAGAATTGATTTACATTTCAAATATGTTCCAGTAAAGACACTGATTAAGATCTGCCTTGATTAAAAACAGTGACGATTTTTGTCTGCTACAGTTTTAATTTTTTGTTTGAATAATTATATGACCCAACTAACTTATCCAAGTAAAGAATTCCATGCAGTGAAGAAGCCTCCCTTTTATGGAAAAATTATTAAATTATTGTGTTGTAAAATTTTGTGTGCTGATTGTCTGGAACTCTCTTCTTGTGCAAGCACAGAGAAGTAAGGCACAGAGAAAACTCGCTTACCATGCGATTTAAGCTCTAGTACGCTGTGCAGGAAATATACTTTTGACGAGCAAGGATGAGCTAAACCTTTCTACCTACCAAAAGTAACTCAACCTAGAAGACCTAAGAATAACTTTTCTTGATGAAAGGTCTTGTCGTAGATTTTAACTTGAGTTTTCCATTAAGTTACTCATCTTCAGAACTAAGTACCTATTTTTTTATACAGAAAACACCATTTGCCGGGTCCAACGCCAATACAGATCTGGGATTGTTCTACCGGGAGTGTCAGAGCGCTCCTCCATTACAAACCTTCGAAGAGGAGACAGTATCTGAACAGCTGGGAGACCTGTCCACGCAACTGGAGGCCTTCGAGACTAGTTTACAAGAGTACGACAACATCATCAGCTCCTTCTGTCAAGGGGAGAACAACAACTAACCAATGTGATAGAATCATCTCTAGTTGCTGATCTGCAGGCTACAAACCTATCTTGGGTGATTGTAGACATGGTTTTTGTTTGGAAATTGTGCTCTAAAATGTTGTGTATAACTTAAAAGATTGATTTTTGTCTAAAGTTTTATCTCGTTGGATTTGCGTCTGCCTTTTTTTATATTTATAAAGGATTACGGAAGATTAAGTGAGTTTTTCTTTAATGTTACTGTTTCAATAAGTATCAAAATGTTAGGATTACACAAAGTGTAAGCTTAGACTTTTGAATACTGAAGTAGACATCCCATCTATATGGATCTGATGTAGCCAACTGATTAAAAAAGAATAACCTCACCGCAGCAAACCTGCAGACTAAGCGAATTTCCATTTGCCTAATTGGATTTACACTAAAATGTCTCCTTAAAAATATCACATTTATTCCCTAATTAAATATAATTAGTTTAACGAGTACTTAGGTTTGATGCAACAGGGAGGCTAAAAAAGTGTTTTTTTTTTCAAATGTTAATAGTTTAAGTAGGTGGAATGTGCTACTCACAGTCTAAAATCCTATTTTCCCTTAACTTGTTGACTGTGGCCTACTGCTATAGCAGTAGCGCGGCACTGGCACTGCTCACGGCCTACTGCTATATCAGTAGTGTGCGCTTGCCAAACATTGTGTCAGTATGAGCCCAGCACACGGCCGGGAACATTGTTGATTGTTGCCAGGCTGTAGCTTAGAATGTGACTTTATTTTGATATAGGTTGGTACCAAACATTCCCGAAAAATCCCGTCTGGCAATGATTTTGTCCCCTTTTTGGGGATTTTCTCTATTCGAGCCATATTACAAAGACTCTGGTTATTGATCCAGACAGTGCTGCTCCCTTTCGGTGTTTCACTGAACTACGTCCACATTCCGGGTAACACAGAACAATCATCACTGCTCTTTTGTGGTTCGTCTTACTGAGATATTACAATGATGATATTACAGTTAGCGATCGCTGATTCAGTAGCGCACCAGGGCTCCTCCCGCAGTTTAGGGAGCGCCATAGTGAAGGTTTTCAGCAGTCAACGTGTTAATTATTGTTACTTTGACAGTTCATATTACATCAAAATGCTTCAGCTTGCAATACATTGTCTTTTTTGGCTTGGTAAAAAAATTGGCTTTTTTGACAGAAATCAGTGATTTACGTAAGAACCTCTGTGGATGGCTCAATTTCATGTGGAACGTTCATTTCCATTCTAACACGGTTTTAAAATATGTTCCTGTTATTACTTTAGAGGGCGTAATATTGTTTGACACATTAGTTTTTTTCAGATATTTAACTAACCGAAAACTGTTTTAATTGATCAATTCTAAGTAATACAACCAAAAATTATAAAAGCTAACCTAAAATAAGATAGATTTATTTAGTCGACAGTACACTCAAACGTAACCAACATGATGTTTATTAAAATAGACTTCAGCTAAAATTGAGAATTCTAAATGTACAATTGAAAATCGATTAAAAACCCTAAAACCTAAAACTATTTCAATATATTTTCTGTAAAAAAATTACACTTGAGTTTTAGTTATACACAACATAAGGAAAGTCTGAAGTGAATAAATTGGTGCTTATCTTTTCCTATTCACTAACTAAATTGATTGTTTTTGTAAATTGTACCTATTTTTGTTTAGGTGGCTGGACCTCAGCCAACAATACATTTAATCTTTTTGTAACACTTTTTTTCTACAAGCTTGTTTCTATGCTGTAAATTTGTCTTTTGGATACCAATTTATTGGTGCATATATTTCTTGCTTGTTAGGTTTTGCTTGTGTGTTGATGAATAAGTTACCTTAATGAACTAAAGAAATTTATTGTGATAAAACCATGTCTAGTGTGTTTGAATCTATTTATTTGTGTAAATAATTTACATAAGTACTTTATGTAATAAGCGTACACAAGGTAATTTTGTTTTACTTTTGTATGTCTTGTATTTAATATTTATAATAGTTTAAACTTTACAGTTTATTGTACTTACTGGTTTAAGTATGTGTGTTGTTTGTTCTATAAATTTTGTATTTTGAGCACAATTAATTTTCTCTTTGCTCTTTACAGTATTAATTAAATAAACTAAAATATTTGGTATCGTGTTAAAATTATTCTCTATATTTGCGTTATTTACACGACTATAAAACTTTAATAAAATAAATGTTAATGTTGATAAGGTATCAAAAATTAATAATTCCTTAATAAATAGTGTTGCATTGTTTTAATTTGTGTTGACATTTAAGATGAATATTGATAAGTATTTATTAAACTGCAGGATTATCATTCTACAAACAAGTTTTTGGGCTAAAATATTTAACATTATATTCAGTACCATATACCACTGTTCTTTAATTAAATTTAAATTCAATAAAAATCATGCAAATGGGATGGCATTTTTGTGAATACTTATGCTCAAGTTAGTTTACTGACATATTAAATATTATTAATCTACATATAATATAGTAATGTAATATAATATTTTTACTTTTTGTTAAATCGAAGTAATAATATTTCACTTGATATTTTGCAGTGTTATAAAATTGAATATCATTTAATTTCTGTTGAAAGTTTGTAAATAATGTAGTGCCATTGGTTTGTTATTGTTTATAATATTTGTATTGCTTTTGTTTACCTTTAAACAAACAGAAGATTTTTAAATTCATATCACCAGTTTTTTTTCATGAAAGTATGATTAAATATTTTGAAATGCATGAACTTTTTAAAGTTGTAAGTTTAGGTTTCATCAGGCAAGCTATACATATAAATAATTATATGTATAATTCTTTAATTTTTACAATTATATCTTGTGATTTTTTTAAAATTGGTTTTTAATGACAAAATATAATGTTTCAATTCTTACCACAATCAATAGTAAGATGTTGTGAGTAAGTATTGTTTCAGGATATTAAAGAACTTTTTCCTACAGTCACCCGACAAAGTTGGTTTCCTTGTACTGTTTATAGTACAGAAAGCTTCTAATTGCTGCATATTTATACTTTGCCGTACGGTTTATACTTTGCCGTACGGTTTATACTTTGCCGTACGGTTTATACTTTGCCGTACGGTTTATACTTTGCCGCACATCAGGATTCCAACGAAACAACACAAAACAGCGTGGTTCTAGTATACACCTAATCCGTGTACGCTTGGAAATAGGTTGGCAACACTTTAAGATAAAAATACTATGAGCAGCTGATTGACTATTATAACTACGATTTAACTGTCATTTCGTGTTTATAGTTTCGGTATTTCTGAACTTTCTGGATTTTTCTTTTAAACGTTTTTAAAACATTCCTACTATCTTAATAAACAAGAAAATACCTTTAAAGCATTTTTTTAGGCACGGAAACCACTTCAAATTACAAAATCATACGGAACTATATTCTCAAAACGCGGAGCACAATTCTTGCCGAGGAAAAATAGCGGAGTGATACGGACCGTGGGTACTACTTTCTCTAGGGCACCATTTGTTTTGCCAGCTGAACCTCAAAACGTGTTGTATAGTGTTTGAAAGACTAATTAACTAATTATTTATATGCTTTATAGGGACTGTAGGAAAAATATAATGTGTAACACGAGTGAAAAAGGCCTTTGCTGCACTCGAGATCATTCCACACTCGCCTGCGGCTCGTGCGTAAACATTGCTCTCGTGTGCAGCAAAGTGCCACTTTCACCACTAGTTACACAAATAACTATTTAATTACAAAAAAATCTTTAGTAATATTTTGTATAATAGCTCACAAACTGGTGTTAACTAACTTTTTTGACATTCTTAAAGTAAAATTAACTGAACTGAACATTAAAATAACAATTTTTACTAAATTTACACAAAATAAATTTTTCTTGTAAGGTGAAAGTTGTTACTGATTTTAGGATGTAAAATGATTGTGTCATGTTAATAGTTAATAATGGTTGCACCTTTGAGTGGAGACTTGGTCAAGCTGGATAACATTTTAATTATCTGTCGTGTAGTTTATTAGAAACATTTTGAGTGTGTTCCAAAATCTTCTTTATCAGTATCAAACTTAGCGGTACTCTCCTCAAACGAGCTGGTCTTTTGACTGGGACTTCGGTCCCCGAGGTCCTTTGTTCAAATCCCGCCAATTGCCAATGTTCCTGCAAAGGATTTGGCTCATTTCTAATGGATAATTCCACAAACCCCCTAGGCCTAATCTGAATTAATGTGGAAAATAATTCCCTGATAGAACATAGAAAAAATACAACTAGTGAAGAGTATACCTTTATGTAGCAGAAAGCTCTGAGGTTAACCCAAAATAAAAATGGTTGGATTGCTCGGGTGTAAGTTGATGGTTTACTTGAATTCTATTGAGTTGCATCTCAAATTAATAATTTTGTAACTTTTCATCCTTTCTGTATGTGTGTAACTTAACAGGATTTGTTTTAAAATAATTTAAAATTTTCTGTTCACAAAATAGTATTAGGTAAAACATGATAAAAATATATTCATTAATACATCAGGAAACCATATGAGGGACGCAGCATGTTAAAAATAATTTAATCAACTTTAGGTTGAAACTGTTAATTTGATTTAGGAAAATACATTATGGGGAAAGTGAGGTTATGTCGACAAAAATTATCTGAAACATTTAAAAGAATTGACTATTTTTGCCCAAGTTTTCATCCACTCAAAGTTGCAACTTACGGTTAGGTTATGGTGTGCCTTTAGCCGGGATGGTTATGCCAGTGCTTCTAGTTACTTCTGTAATAAGACTGATATTTTATGTACATTTTACTATAGCTGGTATTGGCTATGTAACTTAATATTTATTTTGCATATTTTCCAATACAGATATATTCGGTTTCTTTAGATTTATAAAGCATAAAATATCAATCATAGACTAGCGGCTTGACCCTATTTTAGTTAAGTGTAGAATACAATAATTTTATTACAGCTTTATGTGTAGTTTAATTTTAATGCAATCAAAACCAAACTATTAGCAAATAAACCTCCTTTGCAAGTATATTTGGGTTTATTTTCCCCGTAATGATTGGTAAACACAGAGAAGTAAGATAAAGATACAAGCTTATGGGACAACTGTGCTCTTTTAGCTCTGGTATTTTGGGGTGGAACTGTACTAGTATCGAGCAAGGAAGAGCCTGAATGGGGATGTTCACATACCATATTTGTATAGCAGCTCTAGCACAGGGCCTTCCTACAGCGTGAGTGCTGTAGATGTGATGA